CTGTTCTTTCTCCAAACACGTCTTTTCTGTCAAAGGCCGCAGAAGATGCACTGAGAAACAGCAAATGGAGACCCCAGAGGAATGGGACAGAATCCTGATTTCAAATGATCATCGCGTTTATAGTACGGTGAAGACTCTGGCCCATGCCTTGAATGCTGCATATTCCTCCAGGTCCAGGAAAAGAAGGAAGAAGGGCAAACAGAGGTTGGGGGCTCCAAGGCTGCAACCATGGCAGGTATGGGGTCCCAACAAGGATCCATATAACTTAGTTGCTTCAGAGAAGGAATCCAAAGGAAGAGCGAGAGAACCTTGTCAACCTCCTTGTGCCCTTCCACTGCCTTCTGCTCCTTCTTTTGACCCACTGCTGCCTTGCACAATTCTTGCTGCTCAAGAGTTGTGGGCTGAGCCTGGGAGTTCTAGGGGGGAAAGGAGAGCATGGAACACACCTCTTTGATTTTCTGCTGATCTGTTTTTCACATTGTGCCACTGTTTCTGGCAACTGCAAGTATTTTTGTTTGTGTCCCTATATGTGTGTATGTATCTGGGTGGGCATATATCTGGTTCCATAGACTAACATATCCCTCCTCCTCAATTGTCTTTTCTCAAGGCTAAGAGCAGCTCCTTTGATCTCTTCATTAGCTTCATTGCCCTTCTCTGCACCTGATCCACTTTTTCTACAATGTCTTCTTCAGGCATGGTGTCTGCAAGTGGAGACATTACTTGAGTTTTTATTTATTTATTTATCACATTTGTATCACCACCCATCTCACAAAAAGGTTACTCTGGGCAGTGTACAACATTTAATTAAAAAACCAATACATTTATAAACACATTCATTATAAAAACTATAAAGAGCACAGGAACAAGAGAGGATGATGTTAGCCACAGTAAGGGAGCCATCGCCAGATTTCCCCTGTCCTCTGGAACCCCCAGGCCTGATGGCATACCCAGGTCTTGAGGGACTTACCGAATGTTAAGAGGGATGGAGCTAATTCATTTCCAGGAGGGAGAAGATTCCATAAGGCGGGCTCCACAGCAGAGAGGCCCGCCTTCTGGGACCCACCAAGTGTAGTTCCCTGACAGACAAGACCCACAGCATACCTTCTCTGCCAGATCTGACGGGACGGACAGATATAATCAGGAAGAGGTGATCCCTCAGATAACCTGGCCCCAGGCCATGAAGGGCATTAAAAGTTAAAACTTACCAAGGTTCAGCTGAAGCCTGTTCTTCCCCATCGAGACCCTCACAGCCTCCAGGCACTAGGATAAGATGTTCACAAAATTGCTTAATTTGCCAGCGGCAGAGATGTATAATTGAGTATCATCAGCATACTGATGATACCTCACCCCGTGGCAATGGATGAGCTTAACAAGCAGCCTCATGTAGATTTTAAATAGGAGGGAGGAGAGTACTGAACCGTGCAGCACCCCACATAACAGGGGGCCGAGGGTGGGATCTCTCCTCCCCAACCACCACCAACTGGAATTGGTCCCAAAGAAAGGAGGTGAACCAGCACAACACTGTGCCGCCCACCCCAATCCCCTGAGTCGATCCAGAAGGATACCATGGTTGATGGTATTGAAAGCTGCAGAGAGGTCAAGTAGGGCAAGGATGGATGCACAACCCCAATCCCGCCCTCACCAGAGATCATCCAGAAGCACAACCAATGCTGTTTCCATCCCATACCCAGGCCTGTATCCTGACTGAAAGGCATCCAGATAATCTGCTTCTTCCAAGTTCCGCTGAAGCTGCTGCACAACCACCTTCTCAGTCACCTTCCCCAAAAAGGGGAGGTTAGGTACTGGATGATTTGTCCAATATAGTGGGGTCCAGCAATGGCCTCTTGAGGAGGGGGTGAACCAAAGCCCCCTTAAGAGGTGAATTAACCATCTCTAGAACCCACTCATACAACACCTCCCAGGCCGCTTTAACCAGCCAGGAGGAGCATAGTTCTAAAGAGCAGGTGGCTGAGCTCACAGCTGCAAGGACCCTGTCCACTTCCTCAGGCCCAACAGGTTCAAACTGTTCCAAGATAACAAGGCAAGATTCCTCCCTAGGCATCTCCTCTGGACCTGCAACAAGGCTGGCATCCAATTGAGAATTAATCTGAGCAACTTTGTCCAACAGATGCTAAGCAAATTCCTCCACACACCCCGCAAGAGGTTTTCCAAGCCCTCCTTACCCAGGAGGGCTCATGTCACCAGAAACAGGGCTTTCTGCAGATGCAATAAGAGCGGAGAAGTAATGATGTTTGGCTACCCTTATCGCCACTAGGCGGGCCTTAATAGTGGCTCTAACATGTGTTTGGATGAGTTGGTCCCTCGTTGACATCTGTACTCTCACTTCACTCTACTCCCTCAGCTCCTCCGTAAACCATAGGGAGTGTCAGGATCCCTGAGAGGGGACAGGTGGCATGGGCATGATCCAATCCAAGGCCTTAGCTGCTCCCTTATTCCAAGCAGCAACCAAGGCTTCAGATGGACCATGCAGCAGACCAGTAGGAACAACCCCCAGCTCCCTCTGGAACCCATCTGGGTCCATTAGTCGCTGGGGGCGGACCAATCTAATGGGTCCAGCCTCCCTGCAGTGGATAGTAGTGCCAGAGAATCCCATAGTAATCAAGGTACAATCTGACCATGATAAGGGGGACACCAAAAACTCCCCCAATTTCAGATCACATAACCACTGCTCTGACAGGAACATCAGATCCAGTGTATGGCCACTGTCCACTGTTGGGCTCTGGATGACCTGGGATAGGCCCATGACCATCATGGTGGCCATGAAGGCCTGAACCACCTCAGACCCCATTGCTGAGTTGGGGTCTCACCAAACCAGAATAGCTTTCAATTTTCAAACCAGTTTTTATTCACTTAATTATCATGCCATCCAGCCCTCACTTACAGTAACTACCTTATGTCAGGAAGTATTTTCTTACCACTTTGCTGAAATCAAGGTATATTGTATCAACAGCATTCCCACATTCTATTAAGGAAGTGATCTGATTTAAAAAAAAAAAACAGGAAGAAGATTAGAGCACTTTTCTTGACCAAACCAGGCTTTCTTGTAATTACCTCTTTGATTTCAAGGTGTTTACAAATGTTGTCTTAAGACCTGCTTTACAATTTTCCCATAAGTTGAAGTCAGATTGACTAACCTGTAGTTTGCTGGATCTTTCTTTTCCACTTTTCAAGATAAGGGTAACATTTGTTCTCCTGTCAAAGGATATTCGCATGTTGGACAACTATAGAAGTTTCAAATGTCAAAAGACCAAGCGGGATCAGAAACCAAGTTTCCTTCTTTTGAATTACTGGATTTTTCCATTCTAGCTTCATCATTTTCTGGGCAATCATGAGTTTTGCAATATTTCCCTGGAGAAACTGTACTTGGACAAAAATGGAGATCTAGCAGCTGACATGGACATCAATAGCTGGGTAGTTCTCCCCAATGAGGATCTCACTGAAGAGAGAGTAGGGAGTTTTGAAAGAGAGAGGCTTACTATAAACCAAGATGCTCTATCAAGGCTGACTTTGCTCAACAAGGTGAGGAAAATAGTGGTTTCTTTTCTCTGTTTTACAACACCTTAAGACAGGATCAATTTCAAGTGGACTGAGTCTAGTCACCTGTACTGAGAACTGAATGTGGGGAATAGAGCCCTACTAGTTTTCTTAGACTACTTGGGAGGTTTCAGTGCTATCAGCCAAGGTGTCCTTCTGAACTGGCTGGCAGATGCAGTAATTTGGAGCACTGTTTTACACTTATTCAACCACGCCTAACATGGGATGGTGAGTGATTCCTCTTTAGCACCTAGTTCATGGCACTCTTGTGTCCCCTCTTCAATTTATTAACTCCATAAAACTGAGGACTGTAGTGCTGACAGCCTCAAGTTCTCTTGTTTCTTGTCCTGAAAAGCTAAAGAAGACAATGTATTGTCGAAGGCTTTCACGGCCGGCATACGATGGCTGGTGTGGGTCTTCCGGGCTGTGTGGCCGTGGTCTTGAAGTCTTGTTTCCTAACGTTTCGCCAGCACCTGTAACCGGCATCTTCAGAGTGCAGGAGCACAGACAGGAGGAGTTCTCTCTGTGCCAGGGGGCACAGAGAGAACTCCTCCTGTCTGTGCTCC